GAAGGGATTTAAACCAAATGCAGTCTGAAGCATGCTTAGGGACAAAAGAATCAATTTTGTTTCAACTGAGGTATATGGACCCCCTTCTTTGGGGCAGATGAGTGGGACCCATTAGGGTAAATAAAGGAAAATATTTTCCTTTCTGTACAAATGAAGGGATTTAAACCAAATGTGATCTGAAGCATGCTTAGGGGAAAAAAACTCATTTTTTTTAATTCGTATAAAAAGGAAAAGGTGCATGTGAGGCCCAATAGGGGAAATAGAGGGAAATTGGGACATACATAAAAACTCATTTTCTTGTTGTCTTTCCCACCAAAACAGATTTATATGTAGTTCTTCTTGCAATTTGTTTCTTGTACTCCTTTGATAAACCTGAATGGTACTCAGCAGGTTTTAAATTGAAAAATAAAATACCAGGTGAGCTATTAAGGCCCCTGGGCCTCTTGTTTTTTTAAACTGTGGGTCTGGCCCCCCTGGGGGCTGAGGGGCAGGCCCCAATAGGGGAAACAGCAAATTATTCTTTAAAGTCCTTCTTCTTTAGTAGGAATGAAAGAATTTGTTCCATATTGGGTCTGAAGCATCCTTGGGTTAAGGGGAACCAATTTTGTATAAACAGTGGGTGTGGCCCCCCTGGGACTTGAAGGGCAGGGCCCAATAGGGAAAATAGAAGTAAAACCTTTATAATCCTTCTTCTACCATGGGGATTAAGGGATTTTATCCTAATTTAGTCTGGAGCATCCTTGGACAAAAGGGACTCAATTTTGTATAAATAGCGATTGTGGCCCCCCCTGGGGGCAGAAGGGAGGGGCCCAATAGGGGAAATAGAGGTGAAACCTTTAAAATCCTTCTTCAACCATCGGGATTAAGGGATTTTAACCTTATTTAGTCTGGAGCATCGTTGGGCCAAGAGGTCTCAATTTTGTATAATTGGTGGGTATGAACCCCTTAGGGGCATAGGGGTGGGGCTCTGTTTGAAGTTTGTTCTCAAGAACTGGATGGATCTTTCTGAAATTTCATATGTACTTACAGCACCTACCATGGAGTGCTATATCTTTACTTCATACCAATTATTTTAAACATATTCAGATGAGCGATACAGGCTCTCTGGGCCTCTTGTTACTGTATATCATATATAAGGTGTAAATTTGAAGTGTTTTGTTTTAAATATAAAGATATGCACATATAATGACAACCAGGCCAATCCAAACATTGTATTGCTTGGGAAATCTCGAGCAATGCAGGTGCTTTTTAGATAATTATAAGTAGATATGAGGTAAACTTGATAGTTGAGATGTTTTATAAGCGCTGTATCTAGTCACACTGTCTGATGGGCTGATAGTCAGGCATGACTTAACATTGGTAATACATCAGGTACTACCTTATAATTGGCTGAATCTTGGACTTGAGGCTTGTTAACCCATTCACCCCTTAAGCCACATTTAAACCTCACCAAATCAATGACTGGGCAAGTCCAGTTTAGATATGTAGGGGCGAATGAGTTAACAGAGGCACTGATTATGTGTGTTATGTGTTCCAGGGAGCACAGGAAGTGTTCCAGGAGTTTCCGTTTGAGTACATAGAACCAGAACACCTACCCAACGTAGCAAAGCATGGCTGTAAGTATCACAACTATATTATAGAGGAACTTTATCTTATGGAACTTTATCACAGGCAAATTCATTACAAGGAATGTTATCATAGGGGAAATAACAAGCAAGGAACTTCACCATGATGGAAATTTATTGTAAGGGAACCTTATAATGTGAAATTCATAACAGAACTTTGTCATAGAGGAAATTTACCGTAAAGAATTATATCATTGGGAGGTTCATTACAAGGAATTTTATCATCATTTGGGAACTTCTTCGCGGAGGATTGTATAATTGCCTCATTGATTATTATAGTCTTGCCTGTAACTCTGACTTGATTGTTTCTTGTAGCTACAAGCAAGCTGTATGCCTGTGTTGTCAGTCGAGATTCCCACTTTGTCCGTAAAGATGGTGGCAAGTTCAATGCGGAGGAGTTTGAGCTGGACCCTTCTAAATTTCTGTCTGTGTTCAGCCACAAGGTTAGTGTAACTCTATTAATCTGGTGTGGAATAGTAACAATAAATATGATAGTCTTGGAGTCCAAAATACAATCTGGACAATGAGTTTTAGAATTTTAGTATGAGCCTCATGTAATGAAGTATGTTTGAGGTTTAGTATAAACATGCACTTCATCAATATATGGAAAAAATATTGAAAATGTTTGCTAAATCTAAAGCCAACCTGTGTATTCACCCCTTGCCTCATCAGCCAATCAAAAATTCTATATCTAGATCTACCCATGGGGTTATCAGCCATTCAGATACTCAACCTGGACACCCATTCCCTGCCTAAACAGCCAATCAGATACTCAACCTGGACCCCCATTCCCTGCCTAAACAGCCAATCCGATACTCAACCTGGACACCCATTCCCTGCCTAACCAGCCAATCCGATACTCAACCTGGACACCCATTCCCTGCCTAACCAGCCAATCAGATACTCAACCTGTACACCCATTCCCTGCCTAACCAGCCAATCAGATACTCAACCTGTACACCCATTCCCTGCCTAACCAGCCAATCAGATACTCAACCTGGACACCCATTCCTTGCCTAAACAGCCAATCAGATACTCAACCTGTACACCCATTCCCTGCCTAAACAGCCAATCAGATACTCATCCTGAACGCTCATTCCCTGCCTAAACAGCCAACCAGATACTCAACCTGGACACCCATTCCTTGCCAAAAAAGCCAATCAGATACTCAACCTGGACACCCATTCCCTGCCTAAACAGCCAATCCGATACTCAACCTGGACACCCATTCCCGGCCTAAACAGCCAACCAGATACTCAGCCTGGACACCCATTCCCTGCCTAACCAGCCAAGCCAATCAGATACTCAACCTGGACACGCATTCCCTGCCTAAACAGCCAATCAGATACTCAACCAGGACACCCATTCCCTGCCTAAACAGTCAATCGGATACTCAACCTGGACACCCATTCCCTGCCTAAACAGCCAATAAGATACTCAACCTGGACACCCATTCCCTGCCTAAACAGCCAATCAGATACTCAACCTGGACACCCATTCCCAGCCTAAACAGCCAATCAGGTACTCAACCTGGACACCCGTTCCCTGCCTAAACAGCCAATCAGATACTCAATCTGGACACCCATTCCCTGCCCAAACAGCAAATCAGGTACTCACCCTGGACCCCCATTCCCTGCCTAAACAGCCAAGCCAATCATATACTCAACCTGGACACCCATTCCTTGCCTAAACAGCCAATTAGATACTCAACCTGGACACCCATTCCCTGCATAAACAGCCAATCAGATACTCAACCTGTACGCCCATTCCCTGCCTAAACAGCCAATCAAATTCTCAACCTGGACACCCATTCCCTGCCTTAACAGCCAATCAAATACTCAACCTGGACACCCCTTCCCTGCCTAAACAGCCAATCAGATTCTCAACCTGTACCCCCATTCCCTGCCTAAACAGCCAAGCCAATAAGATACTCAACCTGGACACCCATTCCCAGCCTAAACAGCCAATCAGGTACTCAACCTGGACACACATTCCCTGCCTAAACAGCCAATCAGATCCTCAACCTGTACACCCATTCCCTGCCTAACCAGCCAATCGGATACTCACCCTGGACCCCCATTCCCTGCCTAAACAGCCAATCCGATACTCAACCTGGACACCCATTCCCTACCTAAACAGCCAATCAGATACTCAACCTGGACACCCATTCCCTGCCCAAACAGCCAATCAGGTACTTAACCTGGACACCCATTCCCTGCCTAAACAGCCAATCAGGTACTCAACCTGGACACCCATTCCCTGCCTAAACAGCCAATCAGATACTAAAACCATCTTGATTCTCTCTTTGATCATACAGATAGCACCATATGCCTCTGTGATAGTCCATGGAATATACTGGGACCCTAGTGCCCCAAGGCTTCTGACCATTCCTGACGCAAAGACATTGCTCCGCCATGACGAGTCGCCATGGTTACCTTCCACACCAGGGTGTCCCCAGCTGCCTCATCGCTTGCTGGCCATCTGTGATATATCTGCTGACCCCGGTGGCTCTATAGAGTTCATGCAGGAGTGTACCACTATAGATTCACCCTTTTGTCTGTACGACGCTGACCACAATATCAACACAGAAAGGTTCGTATTATGCTGACCTCAATAGAATTGTGTCATCAATTTGGTATTCTCCTCAAGCCCTATGATAATGGTTCTGTAATCAGCAAAGTCTTCTGCTAAATTTTATGGATTTCATCGTTATTCATAAAGTATGTAATCTGTCTGATTTAACTCCATATTTGTGTGTGATATTTTTTGTAAAAAGTTAACAATCTGTATTAATTGTACCTATGCTAGGTGTAACAGGAAAGAGAATAGTGTGCTTCCACCGGGGATCGAACCCTCTGGAAATTCCCTCTGGCTCGAAGCTAGAAGGCAGGTTCTAACTCCCTGTCACCACAGGGTGAGCCACACACACCTTTTGTAACAGGAAAGAGAATAGTGGTCTTCCACCGGGGATCAAACTATCGATCTCCAGGTTCCTAGTCAGACGCTCTACCACTGAGCTAATGGGAAATTCCCTCTAGCTTGAAGCTGGAAGGCGACCTTAATCCTATGTACAATTAAAATCTGCCACAGTAGGGATGGTGTTGTAATATGACTAGTAAAACTTTACCGATTACAGTTTTATTGGGGACAGAGTTTTGAGTAAACCAGTAAATTTGTACTGATTTTGGCTGCAGACAGAGTTTTGAGTTAACCAGTAAAATTGTACTGATTGTAGGCTGCAGACAGAGTTTTGAGTTCATCAGTAAAATTGTACTGATTGTAGGCTGCAGTCAGAGTTTTGAGTTAACCAGTAAATTTGTACTGATTGTAGGCTGCAGTCAGAGTTTTGAGTTAACCATTAAAATTGTACTGATCATAGGCTGCAGACAGAGTTTTGAGTTAACCAGTAAAATTGTACTGATTGTAGGCCGCAAACATTGTTTTGAGTTAACCAGTAAATTTGTACTGAGTGTAGCTTAACTGGGGATTGAGTTTTGAGTTAACCAGTAAATTTGTACTGATTGTAGGCCGCAAACAGATTTTTGAGTTAAGCAGTAAAATTGTACTGATTGTAGGCTGCAGTCAGAGTTTTGAGTTAACCAGTAAATTTGTACTGATTGTAGGCTGCAGACAGAGGTTTGAGTTAACCAGTAAAATTGTACTGATTGTAGGCTGCAGGTAGAGGTTTGAGTTAACCAGTAAATTTGTTTGTCCTGATTGTAGCTTTACTGGGGATGTAGTTTTGAGTTAACCAGTAAATTTGTACTGATTGTAGGCTGCAGACAGAGGTTTGAGTTAACTAGTAAATTTGTACTGATTGTAGGCTGCAGACAGAGGTTTGAGTTAACTAGTAAAATTGTACTGATTGTAGGCTGCAGATAGAGGTTTGAGTTAACCAGTAAAATTGTACTGATTGTAGGCTGCAGACAGAGTTTTGAGTTAACCAGTAAATCCGTACTGATTGTAGCTTTGATAGGGATGGTGTTTTGCGTTAACCAGTAATCCGTAGTAATTGTAGCTTTACTGAGGATGGAGTTTTGAGTTAACCAGTAAATCTGTACTGATTGTAGCTTTACTTAGGATTGAGTTTTGAGTAAACTAGAAATCCATACTGATTGTAGCTTTGATGGGGATGGAGTTTTGAGTTAACCAGTAATCCGTACTGATTTTAGCTTTGATGGGGATGGAGTTTTGAGTTAACCAGTAATCGGTAGTAATTGTAGCTTTACTGAGGATGGAGTTTTGAGTTAACCAGTAATCCGTACTGATTTTAGCTTTGATGGGGATGGAGTTTTGAGTTAACCGGAAATCCGTACTGATTTTAGCTTTGATGGGGATGGAGTTTTGAGTTAACCAGTAAATCCCTACTGATTGTAGCTTTGATTGGGATGGAGTTTTGAGTTAACCAGTAAATCCCTACTGATTGTAGCTTTGATGGGGATGGAGTTTTGAGTTAACCAGAAATCCGTACTGATTTTAGCTTAATGGGGATGGAGTTTTGAGTTAACCAGTAATCCGTACTGATTTTAGCTTTGATGGGGATGGAGTTTTGAGTTAACCAGAAATCCGTACTGATTTTAGCTTTGATGGGGATGGAGTTTTGAGTTCACCAGTAAATCTGTACTGATTGTAGCTTTACTTAGGATTGAGTTTTGAGTAAACCAGAAATCCATACTGATTGTAGCTTTGATGGGAATGGAGTTTTGAGTTAACCAGAAATCCGTACTGATTTTAGCTTTGATGGGGATGGAGTTTTGAGTTAACCAGAAATCCATACTGATTTTAGCTTTGATGGGGATGGAGTTTTGAGTTCACCAGTAAATCTGTACTGATTGTAGCTTTACTGAGGATCGAGTTTTGAGTTAACCAGTAAATCCGTACTGATTGTAGCTTTACTGAGGATTGAGTTTTGAGTTAACCAGTAAATCTGTACTGATTGTAGCTTTACTGAGGATCGAGTTTTGAGTTAACCAGTAAATCCGTACTGATTGTAGCTTTACTGAGGATTGAGTTTTGAGTTAACCAGTAAATCTGTACTGATTGTAGCTTTACTGGGGATGTAGTTTTGAGTTAACCAGTAAATCGTAGTAATTGTAGCTTTACTTAGGATTGAGTTTTGAGTTAACCAGTAATCCGTACTGATTGTAGCTTTACTGAGGATATAGTTTTGAGTTGACCAGTAATCGTAGTAATTGTAGCTTTAATGAGGATGTAGTTTTGAGTTAACCAGTAAATCCCTACTGATTGTAGCTTTGATGGGGATGGAGTTTTGAGTTAACCAGTAATCCGTAGTAATTGTAGCTTTACTGAGGATGTAGTTTTGAGTTAACCAGTAATCCTTAGTAATTGTAGCTTTACTGAGGATGTAGTTTTGAGTTAACCAGTAATCCGTAGTAATTGTAGTTTTACTGAGGATGTAGTTTTGAGTTTACCAGTAATCCGTAGTAATTGTAGCTTTACTGAGGATGTAGTTTTGAGTTAACCAGTAAATTTGTCCTGATTGTAGCTTTACTGAGGATGGAGTTTTGCGTTAACCAGTAAATTTGTCCTGAATATAGCTTTGCTGGGGACGTAGTTTTGAGTTAACCAGTAAATTTGTCCTGATTGTAGCTTTACTGAGGGTGTAGTTTTGAGTTAACCAGTAATCCATAGTAATTGTAGCTTTACTGAGGATGAAGTTTTGAGTTAACCAGTAATCCGTAGTAATTGTAGTTTTACTGAGGATGTAGTTTTGAGTTAACCAGTAATCCGTAGTAATTGTAGCTTTACTGGGGATGTAGTTTTGAGTTTACCAGTAAATTTGTCCTGATTGTAGCTTTACTGAGGATGGAGTTTTGCATTAACCAGTAAATTTGTCCAGATTGTAGCTTTGCTGAGGATGTAGTTTTGAGTTAACCAGTAAATTTGTCCTGATTGTAGCTTTGCTGGGGATGGAGTGCTGATTTGTTCGATAGACAACATGCCAGCTCAGATACCTAAGGAGGCTACAGACTTCTTCGGAAGCTTGCTTCTTCCCTACATTGAGGACATGGTGGGTTAAATTATTGGAATCAACTTGTTGCTTGTTAAATCATAATGTTTTAATACAATTCAGGTTATCGCTTGAAAATTATTATTATTCAACATTCTAAAAAGGATTGTTTAGAATTATTGTTATTGCTTCAGAAATTTAAGAACAATATATTAAAGTTGATTCTTCTTTGAAAATTGTACAAATATATTTGCCTCCTTGATTACAGATTATCTCTGACGCTGTAAAACCAATGGACGACTATCAGTCCTCGCCCATCGTCAAAAACGTAAGTTGGGGATATTGAATGTGACATACTGCCATATAGGTAATGGGCACATTAATAAAAAAGTTTATGTTTGAAATATTAATGTTAAATCCAAACATAAGTCCTGAAACATCTTTGACAAAAGTCCGAACATGACCTAACCTATCTGATCAATTAGGATAAAATTAGTGTGTAACACTCATAATACAGATTTAAAAAAACTTATTTCCCTACAATAAAACAGTTTATAAACAACCAGAACAGTATGATACAGTTTAATAAATGCTATTTATTAACTGTAGAGGTATGCAATGTTATCATGACCAACATTGTTGTATATGTCTTATAAATCAGCATACACATGTTTATACATATAACAGAAGAAATAAACAATACACAAATATATACATTTCATGATGATCTACATTTAGGTTTGGCCTTGGGGGCTATATCATACTACACATATATAAGCTATGGAAATCTCACGGATTACTGACGTTATCCTACCAGGAGTGAACTTTCACCCCTTGTCCCAGGATTACTGCCAATATATCCCCCCAGGAGCGAAACGGTCGCCCCTGGTCCCAACAGCTGGATGAGATTTCCCATTATCAAAAAAACGGACCCCAATGAGAGGATATATCTGACAATCCTGGATCCAGACATGATGAGTAGCTGATCATATACCTGGATCCCATGAGAGGATATCGGATCAGGAAATTCCTGGGTCCGCATGATATCTAGATCTAATTTTCTGGATATAGATCCCATGAGAGGATATTTCCTGAATCCTGGATCGGACACATGGGCCCCGTTNATACCTATAATTATAACTTATAGGCACCTTATTATTAATTTCTGGATATAGATCCCGTGAGAGGATATTTCCTGAATCCTGGATCGGACACATGGCCCCGTTAGCCCATGTTGTACCAATCCCATGAGAGGATTCATCATTGTTGGAAAATCCTGGATCTATAGGATACCTAATTATAACTTATAGGCACCTTATTATGTAGGTATAACTGTATATTAACATGGGGACAGTTTCTGCTGTGAGAATCTTCAGTGCTCCTTGTTGACTTACATTTTGAGACACAGTAACGCTGTATAGATATATATATATATAATAAAAAGGGATTAAATGTCCATGTGAAGGAAGTAAATATAGAAAAAATAAGATTCACGACCGACTAAAAAACAAGCTGCTTTCACCCTTAAGGTGGCTCCACACATCGTCATCAGCGTCCATTTTCGTGACGTAATTCTGGAAAAAGTACAGTTCGGACTCATTATCTTGATCGAAATGTGCATGTACACTGTGTCGTCATTTCCGTATTGCGTATCGGGCATTCAATATCGTAGTGCAAATTATAGTAACACCTGGGCCGTTTTCGTTTAAACGGTCGAACCGATGTGACCACTGTTGTTCGTTTATTAAATAAGGTCGGACCTAGTAATCTGATGCTGCTTTCAGGCGAGCCTTGAGAAAGCCTGGCAAGGCCTGCATACATATTTGCAGGTCCGCCAGGATGTATACCCGAAATTGTTACATTTATAAACGGTCAAACCGGTTGTTCCGCATAAACGAACAGGCCCCTGGTAAACAATAGTACACGTGCGTGCCGATGATATGTCAACACCCGATATCGAGATTTTACCGGGAAATGTATAATCACACATATTTAAGGAATAAAGCTTTCCAATTCATAGACATAAACAGACTCACGGGAAGACAGTGACATGACACCAGACGACTTCAAGAAGGTCATATAGGAAACACATGGAATGCGGACGTATACCGACCTCACATGTGCATATCACATGCTTACACGAGTTCATAAGCTCGAGGTCGTTACGATTTTCGCTGTTGAGGGAGTTTCGCTCTGTCGATTAAATCGTGTTTACAAATGTAGTCTACTTACACTGTGAAAATTATGTTTTGTAAAATATCAAGATGCCTATGAAATGCATGTGTGAGTGCACGGGAGAACGGCATACCATGCGATAGCCTCTGGTCACATATGTACCTGACATGTAATTATAAATATACCGTGAGGTAGCGGACTGTGGAATGATGTCCAAAGTGTACATGACTGAGGATAATTTGGTTCCATTAAAGGACAACAAATTGATAATTTTGATATCATATTTTTGATTTATTTCCAACATTTTGTTATATGTAAACAGAGACAACTGTCATTGTGTAAATGTCATCCCTCTGCAAAAAGTTCCGATTTTTTTCAAGGGAGATAACTCTCACCCGGATCAAAGTGATTGTAAAATGTAAAATAAATAAATTATAAAGCCATTGTGTATATGTATAGATCTTTGTGTCCTGTTTGCTTTTAGCTTGTAGATAATCACTTTTATCCGTACAAATTCAATAAAAACCACTTTGTGTAACATGTGTTACATATTTTGCGATAAATAAAATATTTGTAGGGTTAATTACAAATGCTTCTTTTCATTTTATTATTGTTGTTATTGTTCCAAACAATGCCACACACAAAAATTCCCGGAAATATTAAAATTGACGAAAATTCAATTTTTTGGTATTTTTTCCAAAAAAGTCCCCAAACTATCGGAATGTTTGGATTTTCATAAAATCAACTCTACATAGTTGCATAACCATTATATGAAAGTTTCAACAAATTTTGCTGGTTAGTTGCGAAAGTGTGTAGTCACCTTAAGAGCCCTGTGAAGGGTGAAAGCAGCTAGTTTTTTAGTCAGTGGTTAATCTTATTTTTTCTTTATATATATATATATAGGTGTTAATGCTGAAATAAAATTGACACTTAAAAGACTGTCAAGTCCCATTTATTCTCTAGCATTTGTTCTGTGTTAAAATTGAGCATCCGAGACGAACCCTTTTCAGTCTAAAGTGAATCAGCCGAGGTCAGCTGTAATATCTGGAATGTCCTGTGAGAGCTTCCTAGAAAAAGGTGACATTTAATGGATATTAAAATCTACAATTTGTGAAGTTGTTAACTCATTCTGGAATCTTAATTTTACTTTTAGGCTGTGATTGCATCAAATGGAAAACTGACAGAACCGTTTGAGTACATTACTGAACTCAGAAAGAAGTCACAGTAAGTTATGTTTTGAGATTCTCATCTTGATTAATATTGTATGTTTTATATAGAATAACTGCTTATGAAATATGCCAATAACAGGAAGAGAATTAATGATATTGTCAACGCAACATGATCTTGTCAATATTGAATACATATAACTTCACACTGCCTATTTCAGGTCGTCAAAGAAAGCTAAGAAACTTGTTCCAGGACAGATGAGAGTGCTGGTCCTCGGGGCAGGCTATGTATCTGCGCCTGCAGTAGAATATCTGACCCGGGACAGCAATGTCCATGTAACTGTGGGTATGTAATATACAGAGAAACACAAAGGTAGCCATGTCCCTATTGGGCCCAAGTAAAAACTGCTGTTTCTCCCAGTACCTGTTGTGTTTTACTGGGACTTTAATCCTCCATAGCATCCCATTGTAAATGAATATCACTATTTTTGTCCCCATAGCGTCCCAGTACAAACGTTGCCTGGCTGAGCTTGAAAACATGTGTAGTAGTTCTGCCCTTGTCTTTTAAACTATCAATATTTGTGTCCCTGTAGCGTCACAGTACAGGCGTGACCTGGACGCTGCCCTTGTCTTTAAACAATCACTATTTGTATTACCATAGCGTCCCAGTACAAACGTGACCTGGACGCTGCCCTTGTCTTTAAACCATCACTATTTGTATGCCCAAAGCATCCCCAGTACAAGCGTGACCTGGACGCTGCCCTTGTCTTTAAACCATCACTATTTGTATGCCCATAGCGTCCCAGTACAAACGTGACCTGGACGCTTCCCTTGTCTTTAAACCATCACTATTTGTATGCCCATAGCGTCCCAGTACAAACGTGACCTGGACGCTGCCCTTGTCCTTAAACCATCACTATTTGTATGCCCATAACGTCCCAGTACAAGCGTGACCTGGACGCTGCCCTTGTCTTTAAACCATCACTATTTGTATGCCCATAACTTCCCAGTACAAGCGTGACCTGGACGCTGCCCTTGTCTTTAAACCATCACTATTCGTATGCCCATAGCGTCCCAGTACAAGCGTGACCCGGACGCTGCCCTTGTCTTTAACCCATCACTATTTGTATGCCCATAGCTTCCCAGTACAAGCGTGACCTGGACGGTGCCCTTGTCTTTAAACCATCACTATTCGTATGCCCATAGCGTCCCAGTACAAGTGTGGCCTGGACGCTGTCCTTGTCTTTAGACCATCAATATTTGTATGCCCATAGCGTCCCAGTACAAGCGTGACCTGGACGAGCTTGAGAGCATGTGTAGTAAGGCTGACCTCATCCTGATGGACGTGATGAGGAACACGGAGGAGCTGACAAAGATGGTGGCCGACAGTGATGTGGTGGTCAGGTAAGTACAGGGTGCTTTCGTTAATCCCGATCCAAACGGTTAGACCGGTTGGACGAGAGTTGTTCGTTTATGAAGTATGGTCGGAAGCCTTCACAAAGACTCGCAAGGCCTGAATAAACATTTTAAGGTCCGCCAGGATTTATACCCGAAAATGTTACATTTAAAAATAGACAAACCTGTTGTTCCGCATAAACGAACAGGCCCCAGGACACCTAATTTTTTCAAACTTGGATCACTGAAGTCAGATAAGCACTTGACACCTGTATTTATATCTTGAGATTACCAACTCTTTGTATTTTATTGTTCATTGTAGGTCGCATTTGTGTATCCCGGTTGAAATGATAAACGAACACACTTGGACTGAACTGTAGGCAGAGATAAAAAATGCACAGTTTCAGAGAATAAATAACAATATATCAAGAATAATATGTCCTCCTTTCACACGATCACTAAATTATATAACATATCTTAAAATCTACATGTAGATTGACCTTGTTTTGTAAAGAAATAACACAAACTAGCAATAGTTTCGGTAAGGCACATCTGAACCCCTCAATCTACACATGCCGAATATTCCTGAGGTCAGCCTCAGTTCAGATCTGTGCCTGTTGTTTTCTTTCAGGTTCAACCGTTTCAACTGGTTGAACCAGATAGGCGAAAGGAGCCCTAGAAAGTTGTTTACCTGTGAATTATATTAAGTTTGATTTGTTGTAGCCTGTTACCTTATGTACTCCATCCTGAGATCGCCAAACTTTGTATTGAACTAAAGACCAACATGGTGACAGCAAGCTATGTATCCCCGGCGATGAGGGCACTTCACGATTCGTGAGTACTCTACTACACTTTAAATTTAAAGCAATTAAGATATTTCACAAATTGTATATTAGTTGTTAAATGGTATATGGCATTAAAACTGTATATATTTAATATACTGAATGAAGAATGATGAATAGTTAACTGTTGTATCAAGTGTGATCTACTAGCACAATATATTGTATATATTTCAGAGTTGCAGTAAAACTAGTTCTGTCAAGCTATTCATGAGGTATTTAATTTCTGATACCTAAAAACAAAAATATTTAAAAATTCCTAAAACATTATAGTATTTAAAAATGTCTATTCCTAGAAGTGTATATCTATATGTTTTATTATGTGTTCCCAGAGCTGTGGAGGCTGGTATCACGATCATGAATGAGGTTGGCGTTGATCCTGGTATTGATCACATGCTGGCCATGGAGTGTTTTGACGAGGTCAAGCACGCTGGAGGAAAGGTGGGTCTACAGTATATTTGGACAAAGCTCGGCTTGTCATCTGCTCATGGTACAGTATTAAAGAGCTCCGCTAGCTTACCCAGAAGTTTTGTTATTTTAGTACCACACAATCTGTCTAGAAAGACCACCCAAGGGAGAGAGCCGAATTGGTCTCAATACACAGGTTACATATTGACAGATTGTTTTTGTCTCGCTGCCACAAAGTACCGGAAGCGAGACTAAGGTGTTGCTTTCCCTGCCTACCTTTCATGGTCCATTGGCTTTGTCAGCATCTTCATCAACATTAAGTTTTTGCATTTAAGTTTGTTTCTCTGAAATTATAAGTGCTAGACCAACCGACTTGACATGTGCATTAATGGTCAAAAAGGGGGCACAGGCGAGACAAATCGATCCGAATGGCTTGTTCTATAGAACCATAAGGGTTTTTCGTAGTCTTTATAGACTCTAGATCTCTTTATGTAGGTGCTCTCTGAAAGGAGGGGATCTTTATAGACAGGTGGTCTATATAGACAGGTGGTCTTAATAACCCCATAGATCTTTGGAGACAGGTGGTCTTTATAACCCCAGAGATCTATATAGACAGGTGATCTATACAGACAGGTGATCTTTATAACCCCAGAGATCTTTGGAGACAGGTGATCTATATAGACAGGTGATCTATATAGACAGGTGATCCTTACAGCCCCATGAATCTTTGGAGACAGGTGATCTTTATAATACCAGAGATCTTTGTAGATAGGTTGTGTTTACAACCCCAGAGATCTTTGGAGATAGGTGGTCTTTATTACCCCATAGATCTTTATAGACAGGTGGTCATTATAACCCCAGGGACTTTGGAGACGGGCGGTCTTTATAACCCCAGAGATCTTTGAAGACAGGTGGTCTGTATCACCCCAGAGATCTATATAGACAGGTGATCTTTATAACCCCAGAGATCTTTGGAGACAGGTGATCTATATAGACAGGTGATCTATATAGACAGGTGGTCTTTATAACCCCAGAGATATATATAGACAGGTGGTCTGTTTACCCCCAGAGATCTTTGGAGACAGGTGGTCTGTATCACCCCAAAGATCTATATAGACAGGTGATCTTTATAACCCCAGAGATCTATATAGACAGGTGGTCTTTATAACCCCAGAGATCTATATAGACAGGTGGTCTTTATAACCCCAGAGATCTATATAGACAGGTGGTCTTTATAACCCCAGAGATCTATATAGACAGGTGGTCTTTATAACCCCAGAGATCTATATAGACAGGTGGTCTTTATAACCCCAGAGATCTATATAGACAGGTGGTCTTTATAACCCCAGAGATCTATATAGACAGGTGGTCTTTATAACCCCAGAGATCTATATAGACAGGTGGTCTTTATAACCCCAGAGATCTATATAGACAGGTGGTCTTTATAACCCCAGAGATCTATATAGACAGGTGGTCTTTATAACCCCAGAGATCTATATAGACAGGTGGTCTGTATCACCCCAGAGATCTTTGGAGACAAGTGATCTTCATTGATAAGTGACCTTTAAAGACAGGTGGTCTTTAAGGGAGATTTCCCTATCTTTATTTTCTTGAAGAGAGAATGATCTCTGTATATTTGAGTTATGAATATAGAGGCTTATTCCAGCTGCCCTTTTATAGGTGCCTTGTATGAAAAATTTGATTTGTAACATTTATTGAACACTTTTCTCAGTTTTTGTCTATACACAGATATTATATTTGTATAGGTGTCTTGTATGAAAAACAAGATTTTAAAACATTATCTGTAAAATATTTTCAATCTCTGTTAATGTCAGATATTTTATGAACGATCCTATTTATAAATGTATTGGACTCAGCAACTGTCTGTCCCAGTTATGGTATAGAGAATTGTATTTCTTTTCCAGATAAATTCTTTCATTTCCTGGTGTGGTGGGTTACCTGCCCCTGAAAACTCCAATTCTCCGCTGCGCTACAAATTTAGGTGAGTGATTTGTGTCTGTACTTTAGGTACATGTAATCAGCAGCCCTGTGTTGATCTGGTTTTAGTTTCAGATACACAGAGGAAATTTCACAAAACGACAGAAACAATCGGACAGGAACTCTATTAGTCTTGGTGATGATTGACAGGTGTTCTATTGGTAGTACTGCTGATTCACTTCACACCTGATATATTGTTATTGAAAATACTACTTATTCTGACCTCACCCAAGTTTAGAACACCTCCAACAACAAAATAAGAGACGGTATACTGAAATCAGATGTTTGTCCCTCTATGGCATCAGCAAATATTTTTATCTCAGTGCTGTTTTGTCGGCCAGAAACATGCAAGGTATTAGTGTTGGCTAATGCGTAATCTTCCAACTTTGGTCTGATCTTTTACTATCAATCTGTCCAGTTGAAGAAGTATTATTAATGACTGAGTTGTATAGAAGTTGATATTAAATCTCAAATGTTTGGTACCTACAGCCATAGTGACATAGAAAGGTAAGTTCTAAAACAGTCTCCATTTATAGACACTTAAACCTCTGCTTGGCTGAAGCCATTGTTTACAGCATAAAATTGATAACAGCTTTGCAAAGGCCTAGTTGTTTAAGTGAATTGCTCATAAACTATATCCTCAAGCTTCAAGTGAATATACTCAGGCATCTGTGCTATAGATCATAATGCTAGCCATTCAACCACTGATATTTGTATTTGATTGGTTAGTTTCTCTCCAGTGCATAATATTTTCTGCACAAAATATTTCATTAATTCATTGGCTTATTGATATTGTCTGCTATATGTGCCTAAGGGAGATAACTGTTAGGGCTCGTATCCCTTTAAACTGATACCTTTTCTTTGAATTCCCTTAAAACATTTAGAATCGAAACTCACTACAAGTTTCATCTTAAGGAGGCTCCACCCTTTCGCAATTAGCCATCAGAATTCAATGAAAGTTTCACATGATGGTTATGTCACTATGTAGAGATGATTTTATGAAAATCTAAGCATTCCGATAAACTGGGGATTTATTTGTAAAAAATACCGAAAAATTGAATTTTTGTCAAATTCAACACTTTCACATTTTTTGAGCGTGTGGCATTGTTCAAAACTATTACAACAATAAAATAATGAAAAGAAACATTGCTAATCAACCCTACAAATATTTTATTTATCATAAAATATCTACAACATGTTACAAAAAGCGTTTTTTATTGAAACTATATGGATAAAAGTTACTAAATACAAGCCAAAATCAAACAGGACACATAGTTACATACAAAAAGAGTGAAAAATTGAACCAAATACACACAAAGTCTTTATAATTAATTTATTTTACATTTTACAATTATTTTGATCCTGATGAGAGTTGTCTACCTTGAAAAAAATCGGAACTTTTTGCAGAGGGATAGAATTTATACAATGACACTTATTTTATTTAATATACCAAAAACGACGGAAATAAATTAAATTACTATATTTATTTGTCAATTTACTGTTCTTTTATGGAACAAAATTACTCTCAATCATGTACACTTTGGACATCATTCCATAGCCTGCTTACGCATGGTATATTAACATGTCAGGTACATATGTAACCATAGGCTATCGCATGGTATGCCGTTATTACGTGCACGCACATGCACTTGCATTTTATAGGGATCTTGATATTTTACAAACCACTATTTTCACAGAGTTATTGTAATTGCATTTGTGAACCGATTTATCTGACAGAGCGTAACTCGCTCGACAACAAAAGTCGTAGCGACCAAGAGCTTTTGAACTACTGTTAGCACGTGATACGTACAGGTGAGGTCGGTAAACAAAACACATCAGTCTGCATTCCAGGCGCCTCATATACGACCTTCTTGAAGTCGTCTGATCGTATGTCAGTGTTTTCCCGTGAGTTAATTAATGTCTTTGTATCATAAGCTTTATTTCTGAAGTACGTGTGATTACACATTTCCAACTTAAGTCTAGATATCGGGTGTTGACATATCACGTCACGCACGTGTACTATTGTTTACCCGGTGTTACTATAATTTACACTACAGTAATGGAATGCCCGATACGCAATACGGAAATGACGAAACGAAAATACGACAAGAAAAACATGTGTATTACGAAGGGTGGAAACTCCTTAATAACAAAAACAGGGAAAGGCTTTACTTAAAAAATAACTGCTTCCATTTTAGCAGCTTCATTTCATTCACATGGTATATTCATCATCCTACATGTATTCGACCCAACAGAGTTTTTGCAGAATTACAGGGAGACAATGTGTGAAGACAATTGAGGTCTCCTGAACACTTTTTCAGGTGTCAAGTTTGTGAATAAAACAGTTGACTGTATTTCTCCCCTGGAGAAGACAATTGGGAAGACAATAACTGTGTAATATACATAGCATTAGATGAAACATTGTTACAGTGACCTATTTTTTTCGCAGCTGGTCTCCTGGTGGTGTGCTGCTTAATTGCCTAAGTGGGGCCAAGTACCTAGAAAACAACAGAGTAAGTACAAGCTTTTAAGGATCCCCATACCACTGCCATACAATGTAACTATTAAGGATCCCTGTACCACTGCCACACACTGTCACTATTAAGGATCCCCGTACCACTGCCATACAATGTAACTATTAAGGATCCCCATACCACTGCCACACACTGTAACTATTAAGGATCCCCATACCACTGCCATACAATGTAACTATTAAGGATCCCTGTACCACTGCCATACAATGTAACTATTAAGGATCCCCGTACCACTGCCACACACTGTAACTATTAAGGGTCCCTGTACCACTGCCACACACTGTAACTATTAAGGATCCCCGTACCACTGCCATACAATGTAACTATTAAGGATCCCCTTACCACTGCCACACAATGTAACTATTAAGGATCCCCATGCCACTGCCACACAATGTAACTATTGAGGATCCACGTGCAACTGCCACACAATGTAACTATTAAGGATCCCCATACCACTGCCACACAATGTAACTATTGAGGATCCCCGTGCAACTGCCACACAATGTAACTATTAAGGATCCCCATACCACTGCCACACACTGTAACTATTAAGGATCCCCGTACCACTGCCAAAAAATGTAACTATGCCTCGGAAATATAAGCAACAGTGTTCTAAGTTTACAAATGTGATTTGACCAAAACGGGATTCCAGCTCCGGACCCCAGATCAATATACTGTCAATGTAACTGGCTGAGCTATCTTTTTAACATATGTACAATGGCCCGGACATGCTACAATAACATTGGTCAGGAAGTCAAAGGGAGGTTACTACATGTACAAATAACTATTGCCCTGCTGTGGTCGAGGGCACCTTACTAGGTAGTTTCAGTTAGGATTGATACTCATTGTGAATTTTTGTTTTAATACTTTGTACATGTAAACATTAGCAATTAGGGATTACCCCACTCTCAGCCATTAGACAGACCACTATGAAAACTGATGAAATAATGCAACAGATGAAATAATGGCTACTAAGTGTTCAAAATACATAAATAATTGATTCTTGCATTCATTTACCAATGATTTTTTGTGAAAGTGGCGAAAGTAAAGTTATATTTAGTGAAATCAACATCAAAACAAATGATAAAAATAAAAGAATTGAATTACATAGATTATATAACAGGAACAATGGTGTAACAAGAAAACATGATCAAAAATGACATTAAGCGACTTGATATTAAGTGAAATGTACTGTACAATAAAATCCAACCTTTTAGAGTAACTTTGAGAATTGTTACCCTACAGATTGTTGAAATCCCTGGTGGTGGCACGTTATTGGACAAGACTCAAGAGTTGAACTTTATGCCAGGTTTCAACATAGAGGGATTTCCTAACAGAGATTCTACTGTGTATGGATCAGAGTATGGTATAGAGTCAGCCAAGACCATCCTCAGGGGTACCATTAGGTACAAGGTAAGTTTGTATACTCAACTGTGACCATTCTCAGGGGTACCGTCAGGTACAAGGTAAGTTTGTATACTCAACTGTGACCATCCTCAGGGGTACCCTCAGGTACAAGGTAAGTTTGTATATACTCAACTGTGACCATCCTCAGGGTTACCCTCAGGTACAAGGTAAGTTTGTATATACTCAACTGTGACCATCCTCAGGGTTACCCTCAGGTACAAGGTAAGTTTGTATATACTCAACTGTGACCATCCTCAGGGGTACCATTAGGTACAAGGTAAGTTTGTAATATATACTCAAGTGTGACCATCCTCAGGGGTACCGTCAGGTACAAGGTAAGTTTGTATATTCTCAACTGTGACCATCCTCAGGGTTACCCTCAGGAACAAGGTAAGTTTGTATATACTAAACTGTGACCATCCTCAGGGGTACCATTAGGGACAAGGTAAGTTTGTAATATATACTTAACTGTGACCATCCTCAGGGGTACCGTCAGGTGCAAGGTAAGTTTGTATATACTCATCTGTGACCATCCTCAGGGTTACCCTCGGGTACAAGGTAAGTTTGTATATTCTCAACTGTGACCATCCTCAGGGGTACCATTAGGGACAAGGTAAGTTTGTAATATAAACTCAAGTGTGACCATCCTCAGGGGTACCCTTAGGTACAAGGTAAGTTTGTATATAATCAACTGTGACCATCCTCAGGGTTACCCTCGGGTACAAGGTAAGTTTGTATATGCTCAACTGTGACCATCCTCAGGGGTCCCCTCAGGTACAAGGTAAGTTTGAATATACTCAACTGTGACAATCCTCAGGGTTACCCTCAGGTACAAGGGAAGTGTGTATATACTTAACTGTGACCATCCTCAGGGGTACTGTCTCTTCTGCATAATCTAGACGAAGCTTAAACTGTCTTTAGAGGTACTGGTAAGTATCAACCACAAATATTTTTAAAGACTTGGCCAAATAAGTTTTCAGTAAACTTTGTGTAGGCAATCAGTTTTAATATGTTAAATGTATCTTGCAGAATTTTAGTATATCTGCATTAACAACAGATGGCTAAAACTCGCAGCAGATGGTTTGTACATGTGTGCTTGTTTTTCAGGGGTTCTGTGACATTGTAAAGGGACTGATGAAACTTGGACTGCTGAACTCTGAACCAGTGGTAGAACTCCATCCCAATGGGCCAGAGAAAACATGGGTAAATACAGCCGACTGAGATTAGTGGTCATACATTGTATCTTATATTTATTTTTATTTATTTATTTCCAATTCAACAGACCCAAGGGTCCACTTATAGAATGGATAACAACATTACAACACAAACATAAAATATCACAGTCAGTTATGCATGTAACACAGACTAAAAGATACTCGTATGTAAAACAAAAGGAATTAGTGATGGCAAATATTCTTTAACCATACTTTGAACTCGGCGAGAGTCTAGGAACGAAACATATCGCAGTCTGGTACAAAATCAAGATAGTTAAAATTACATTGAATCCTGTTTAAAATACTATACTTTCTAACGTTTATTCTACTTCTCCGACAGTAAAACTGGTTGAAACGAATTGATCGTAGATGACGACCAGGGACTAAAAAACACATTTGCTTGACTAAATATGGACAATCAAAAGCACTATTAACACATTTGTAAAGAAATACACAGTCTAAAAATGCCCGCCTATGTTCGAGGCTAGGAAGATTAAAATACCTACAAGTGTCAGCGTAAGACATGGAATTGTGGTCAACGTGTGCCTTAAAACATAAAAATTTCAAAAATTTACGCTGGACAACTTCGACCTGGTAAGTTAAAGATGTTTGGTAAGGAGACCAGATCTGACAACAGTATTCTAACTGACTCCTGACAAGACTTATATATAGAGACCTTAAAACAGATATTTGTGTAAAACTTTTACATGGACGTTTTATAAAGGGCCGGTTTCCAAAACGGCCCCTTCTCTGATTCAAATTTCCTGTTGGTGGTGCATTGCCCATGCCGTTGTGGTCACAAATCTATAAAGTATAAAGATTTAGGTCACTTGGTTTGTTTTTTATGGCTCCTCAAAGTTGTACCTTTCAGAAGCTGTCTAAGTGTTGATAAAATGTGCATGTTATGTAAAATATTAATGAAAATCTAATCAAATGATGGTCACCGTAAAGAATACATTCATGGCATGATTGTGACAAAAAATCATGTTTCCATCGCGCCATTTGGCTGTTTTATGGAAGAAACAATCTCAAAAATGCCATTTTCGATGATAACATTTTAGACACAAAAACTGTGTTTTTTAGAGAATACACCCTTTTATGGGCGTTGGATGCAAACCAATTTTTATCCTATTAAACAGTACGTAATATGCTATTGATGAGAGGAAAAATCATCAAAATGTAAGTGGTGGAACATTTTCAAATGTTGGGTTGAATTAGCCTATGGTTGAATTGCCGATTTTCGACTTTCTTTAGATAATTAACAAAAAAACGAGAGTATTTGCTCGGTATGTTGAGAATATGTACACAGATATGAAAAAAAGTGAGAGAAACACTTTTTCATAAAAAAAATCCAAGATGGCTACTTCACAAGTCCCCGTGGTTGAAGACATTGGCTGACAAATAGACAGAACAACAAACAAAACGTGTTCCTTATGATTTTGGTTGGTTTTCGCATTTACGGGAGTGTTCATAGCTACGGGCGATTGTATAATACCTATATTTATAAGTTTGGTTAGTCACATGGTAACGGGGATCTTTCATATCGAGCCCCAAACATACTTTCGACATATGCACTCCGTTGCCGCATGGAAAACTATTTCAAGTTTTGTCGGAATTTCTTTACCTGTGGTTGTAATGGTCGAGGGTTTTCCAGCGTCCTGTAATACCCAAGGTAGTACAAGATACTGGAGATGTGCGCACACATTCCCATCGTTCTCTCTCCAACTGGGCACTGGCAGTAGTAGTCCTTTATTGGGGCCTCAACATCGGGTGAAACGGTGAACCGTATCCAAACGTTATATTTCGTTTGGCTTTTGTGTCGAGAATGTATTTGACATCGGAGAAGGTCTGGGGAGTGCTGGTAAAGCCACACCTCATAGTCTCCGTCATCACTTAAATGTTCGGCGATGTAACCAGGAGCCAGAGATATCTGATACGTTCCACACGTAATGGTTCTCAAGTAATCAAGATCGAGACGGGGAAACAGTACGGAAGATGCATCCATCTTGACAAACTCGGACCTTGCCCGTCTAGATAGATCCGGATCTGTCTTGACTCTCTGAGCTAAACCATTCGGTGTTGTCAAACGGTCCTTCATACGTTCAGCCATTAGCCTATCTTTGGCATCTCTCTCTGGAGATCTCTGGTAGATCGGTCCTCTAATACCATTCAGACAGGCTGTGACGGTTCGAAGCAAAGCCTCGATGACATTGATAAAGCTGTTAGACACCAATTGCGTTCGGAAGAACGTCCAGTGTTTCAGACGACCATGATAGGATTCCACAATCCACCTCGATTTGGTGATAGTTCTGTCAAGATTTGCTTGGACGTCAGAATGTTGACTTTGACCGGGTTTCAGGTATGACGGCATGCTAGCATTGAGGCCAGAGGCTTCGAGAACTGGTAGGACATCTCTAAAACCTCGGTCAACGACAACGTTGTCGTCTGGTTGTAGCCAAGTAACTAGCTTGTCCATGACTTTTTTTGTAATTGTAGCATCATTTTCGCTGCCAGTGAATGGTCCTACTGTGTCCAGAATGTAGCCATCTGGTAAGGCGATGCTCATGAATTTGAGATAGTTTCTCTTCTTCTGGCCACAGTAGGACATTCTCTGGAGCTTGTGGTCGGAGCTTTTCTGGATATAAATATAGGTGCCATCTAATATGGCAGTGGCTTTATCTCCAAAAAATGCTTCTGAAAAGACAGTATTGTGCCCGAGCAACTGTTCTCTTGTCAAGTGATCCGGACCTAGAAATTGTGGGACTATCGATGTGTCTAATGCCTGTACTATGGAGTGGAAAGTTTTGGACACACTTGACTTGGAAATTCCAAAAAGAGAAGAACACTGACTCCAGGAAATGTCGGTTTTCAGTTTTACCCAGAACAGTAATAGAGCATCGTGTGTAGTCTTGGTATATATACCAGATGAAAGATATGGGGAACAGTGCGAGTGGATTTCGAGGAACTGATCTTTGGACCAACCTGTCCAGGCCATGCATGCCGAGTCATCAAGAGAAGAAAAGCTTATTGTAAACGCAGACTGGTTCTGTGAAAGGACGTGCGACACCTCTAGGAGGTCATTAATGATTTCGGACGATTTTGATGGTAACTGAGATTCCAAGGAACCTCTACCATCAAGGACAACCTCTGTAGACGGATCTAAGTCGTTACCAATAAGGTGAATGGAGCAGACGCGGGATGAGGTGGGACACCACAGTTTGTGTGAATAGATCAGGTGATGTCTTGCACGTTTTGGTAAGACTGATGATTTTGTTCCATTTCTTGCAAAGGTAACAAGACAGAGACAGCATTTTTTGTGTGAAGATGATCCATTCAAAAGATCATGAAGGGTCAGCAACGGCAGGATATGGGACGGGGAGTCGTCTTCTTCCTCTATTTCCTGGTTCTGCTCGGGTTCAGGTTCAGGCTGATTTTTGTTCCGAAGATACTTCATGTAGCACTTCTGGCAAATAAGTGCTTGTTCCTTTGCTGACATCAATCCTTGTTGCACCAGCGTATCTAGGAGCCATTTATATTGTGGACTATTTACATTGCGTGCACTTCTGTTCTTATTGCCACTACGTTTCTTGAAGTATACTTGACACCCTTCTCCAACACATTTACCCTCCATCTTGAAACAATAACGATTGGTTTATGAAGCGTCGATAAAGTAACAAAATAGCAAGCCACCGATGATTGCTGTAAACAGCTAATACTTAGTAGTTTGGTACAATTATGCGAAAATGTGTGATAAATAACGAACAACTAATTACACAAAATAACAAGACAATATAATAAATCACATTCAATACCTCCAAGAAGCGCAGAATTGATTGATTACTTAGAACAAAATAAAGTATTTCATATGGATAATCTATCTATTCGATGTGGCGTGGTCGGCAGGCACAAAGAAAGTGAGACAAGTCAGGGTCCCAACCCTGACAGAGCCACAACGCTTTGGAGATGGGACAATAAAACAAGGAAAGTGAGACAAGAATAGCTAGCGTCGAGTCAATGATTCCGTAAACGTATAGACAAAGACAAGAAGATACGGATAAATGTACAAGGCCACACGATCAGAAAATTCAGAAGAGGACAACTTGAGATAGAACAGTATTCATGTATCAGGGTGTCCTCAGTGTAAATCTTTATATCGATACTGTTTATTTAGTCGTTACACATCATAAAACTGTCATGAAAATATCCGCTCTGATATTCAATATAAAAGTTTGTATATAATAAGCTATATAATAGGGTTTCAGACAAGGTTGTTACTCATTTCCCCTTTTCTTTCAATTTACAACCACATTCAGGCGGCGATATGAGAACGTTCCACCACATGGAATTAGCTGATTTTTGGTACACATATGAAACAAGTAAAGCTCTATCCGATTTTCTGATGGAAATTTGCATCCAAAACTATATAACGGGAGAAAATTGCAATTTTATGGCATTTTTCTTCATAATTGTGTCTCTGCAAGTGCATTTTCATCCGAGAATTTTTTTTTTTATGTTTTATGAATAAACACGATGTTTTGGAAATATTTATCAAAAGAAATTTATACTATGTTGCGAATTACAATTTCGAGATAACCTTCTTTTATTTACGAACTTATGTCTTTGATGCTGAAATTGACAACTTTATAAAAATACATTTTCACTGAAATTATGAAATCTGGGTGTCGGAAAGGTGTAAAATTATTCTTCGGAAAAGAAAAAAACAGTAGTTGAGCTAGGTAAGAAATTATATGGGGGCAGGCTCCTATGGAGAATTAACATTACTGGAAACAGGCCCTTTATAATTTGCATTGATTTGGAAACAGTACGTCTAATGTAGGTACTAAAACTCATTGAAGAGGTCAGCCAAACACCAAGATCTTTCACACACATTTCATTCTTCAGGTTCTCACCGTTCATAGTGTAATTAAAATTCATACATTACTTCTTGCTATCTCGTTATCTTATACATTAAAAGTTACTTTCTTGTAGAGGTCATCTCAGTACAGCCAGATCTGATACAGAGGTCACATCTGTCTGAAGGTCACCTCAATATAGCCAGATCTGAAACAGAGGTCACATCTATCTGAAGGTCACCTCAATACAGCCAGATCTGATACAGAGGTCACATCTGTCTGAAGGTCACCTCAATACAGCCAGATCTGAAACAGAGGTCACATCTGTCCTGAAGGTCATCTCAGTACAGCCAGATCTGATACAGAGGTCACATCTGTCTGAAGGTAACCTCAATATAGCCAGATCTGAAACAGAGGACACATCTGTCCTGAAGGTCATCTCAGAACAGCCAGATCTGATACAGAGGTGACATCTGTCTGAAGGTCACCTTAATACAGCCAGATCTGATACAGAGGTCACATCTGTCTGAAGGTCATCTCAATACAGCTAGATCCAGAGATGTAATAACAACTTCAGAAATGTGCTCCAGCTCATTAATATCAGATCTCTTAAATTCTCATCAGGATATCAACAATATATGTTGGAGTATGTACAATTCCTACGTATATATTAATCAGGGAATCACCTGTCATCAAACACAATCAAGTAAGGACACAACAAGCCAATCAACCTGTCAGCCCAAAACAACCTGATTTTCATAGAAGAAACTGACTTGTCTCAATCAGATCTTGACACATAAAGCTGATATATTGTATCAACAATTTTTATACGCCCGTCGAAGACGGGGACGTATTATGTTATCACGTAAGCGGGCGGGCGGGCGG